GGGGCATGCATCCAGTTTTACACAACTCTGTATCCACCACAATCACCACCACAACCCAGGCCATGCCTTGTGCCCTGGAGAACAGCCCACTGGAAGCACAGGCTTCTTCAAACTGCATGCCAAGAGGCTGGGTCCTAGAGTACAAGACACTAGCACAAGGAAGAAGGCAAGGCAGCCTGGGCTCCAGTGCAGGGGAAAGGACAAATCAGGGAGAAAACACCATTCTCCCTGGCCGAGGTCCCACAGTGGTGTTCTGCCAAGGCCACCTCAGAGCAAAAGGAGCCACCAGGGAGTCCGGTGTCTGATGGAGACACCCCAGACGTAGGTTGGGCTCTTGGGTCCCTGATTCTGCCTATTCCCTGTCAAGTCCCAGGAGGAAGGGGTCATAGATTTAAAGGTGGAAGGAACCTTAAGGGCTGGCTAGGTGGTATAGGGACTTGGAGTCAGCAAGACCCCAGTTCAAATCCTGCATCAGACATTTACTAGCTGTGCGATCCTGGGCACAGCACCTCCCTTAGAGGGTGAAATGAGATAATAATCGTAGAGCCCTTTGTAAATCTCAAAGCCTTACACAATTCTAGATTTGATCCAATCCAACCCCCTCGTTTTACAGATGAATAATTAGAGGCTCAGAGAGGCTTTTTGATCTAACCAAAGTCACTCATGAAGCAAGGAGCAGATCCAGGATTTGAACCCAGGGCCTCTGACTTTTTCCACTGAACTACAAATCGTCCCTTGACGCTGACTACCTGTGTAAAACTGGGGGAGGGGTGGGCTAGCTGGCCTCTGTGATCCCCACCAGCTCTGGGGCTCTGACCCTGCGGCAGCACCTCCCCCTCACCCATTGTACCCACTGCACTCTAGCCTTCCAAGCTGAAAGTCAAAAACAAAACCAAAGGTCAGCCTGGTTCTGACCCCCACGGATGCCTGGCCAGGCTCTGAAGAACATTCAGAGAAGAAGAAAAGCCTTGACAGGCTCAGGCTGACTGTCTCCAAACTGGGCTTAAAAGACAAACAGAAGAAAGCTGATCAATTTGCATTTTGCCCCTTGTAAATTGGCCTCTCCATTCCAGCTTTCCTTTAGAGCCAATCCTCCCGAGGCAGCTAAAGTTCTCCATCTAATTGCCTCTTTAGCACTGCCAAGTTTGAAGACTTTAAACCTATTCGACAAAAGATCTGAACCATAAATCTGCCCATCTTAGTCAGAGGCCTGCCATGACTTCTGGTCCTGAACAAGCAACAGGTCAGAGCAATCTCCCAGAACTGCTGATAAGGAACGCCAGCCCCGATAAACCAACCTGGGTCAGCAGGAATTCCAGCAGAAGATGCTGGATCAACAGGTTAGGGGCACAGAATCAGCAAAACCAAAATTCAGAGAGGAGCAAAGGGCTCCCAGGGAGCCCGGCTCTGAAGACAAAAAAAGCCGCTCAGAGGCCTACTGCCGGCCGTTCTGGCCAGCGTAAGAACCTGCTTTCAGTGCAATTCAAGCCAACTCCCCTGACTCAGCTCCGCCAGCAGGTACTCGTACCTGCTACATGCTGGGCACAGAGACAAAACAAATACACATCAGTCCCCAGCCTAAAGAAACTTAGTCTACTGGAATCCCAACGAAAGAGGGTCCCCGATTAAACAGAAGAAAACTTTAAAATGAATACAGAGGCCAAACTGGCCAGGTTCTTAGCCAAGATAAATTCTTGAGGACTATTTTTCAACATTAATTGGTTTTCTTTGTAATCTTAAGCATTTAAAAACATGATTCTGAGAAGGGGTCCCACAGGCTTCACGGACTACCACCAAAGGCGTCCAGGACACATACAAAAGAGACTCAGAACCTCTGTTCTAGGGTGTCACTAAAAAGAATCTTCCCCACCCATGTGGTCTCCGTGCAGGTGAGGCAGAGAACCAACCAGGCCTGCCCACAGCCTTGCTGACTGGACTAGACAAAATAGTTCATATTACCATTCGGTGCTTAAAAACCACCACCACCACTCACACTTGGTAGTCTAGTCCTGAAACCCAATGAGAAGGGAGGTAGCCAGTCCAGGTATGAGGGGTCAGGAAAGGGAAAAGGAGAATTTGCCAACTAATTCAGTCCTTTCAGAGAACTCATTAATGTCCTCACATCTCCCAGACTTAGCAGAAACCACCTGTCCAGAGAACAAGGTCTGCCTCTCCCATCACCCAAGATTTCTGCTGATGAGGGCAAAGCCCAGCCAAGAGCCCTTAGGCTATTAGGAAATGTTTTTTGAGTAGCTAAAGGTCAAGGGTTACAAGTGATAGACTCTCTGCCCTTTTCCAGGCATCTACCTCCCTCCCCCCACACACTTTCTGACCCTGAGCCTCTTAAACTTGGCTTCCCTCATGAACCCCAGACTCTTGCTCTCCTAGGGGACAAGGGGAGGATTGGGCACTGGTTACCCCAGCAGCAAGCCTGCCTGCCTTGTTTTCTCTTCACTCAAGCTAGGGACTCCAAGATCACATTGGCAGGAGAGGAAATCAGGCCTAAACTCAACAAGAGTGCTGTGCACGGAAGGCCTGGGGAGGAAGATCTAAAGTTATCATCTAAATAGCCAGTTTTAGACTGGCTAGGGCGGGGGCTGGGATTGGGATGGATTATCTTTTATCTAAATTTTCCAACCCTTGTAAGTGGACAGACTTGATTGGGGGTGTTACTTCCCCTAGTTTCCTGGAGAACCCTAGGGGTGTTATGCCCATCAGCATTATCTAAGATTCCTTACCTGAAGCAAACAGACCAGGAGTCTTCATACTTAGGTTCTACTCCCAGGCCTACCCCAACTAAGCATTCTGATCTCAGCTAATTCCCTTTTTTCCCTACATCCATTTCTTCCTCCCAAAAAGGGCTTCGAAGTCCCTTCAAGTCTGTGACCCTGGGGCCCCAAGCTATGACAATTTAGCCAAAATGATCAAAAACCAAACCAAACCAAAAACTGGATGTTGTGACCTTACGGGGACATTGGCCATCTTTTTGAAGCTCCAAATCCCGATAAGTGGTCTGGGTCAAAGGGCATTCTTTTTTGCAGGTACAGGAAAAAGAACTGGATGGGAGGTTTTGACAGGTGGTGACCTTCTAGGGGAGGAAACTCCTTCACCCAAGCTAAGCCTCAGCACTTTCACTGTGATTTAGAGTCTCTGAGCTCTTTCAAGCACTGGAGGCTAAGTGACTTTCCCAAGGTTACCCAGCAAAGCTTGAACTCTAGTGTTTTCTGACCTTGAGAATGATTCCCTTTGCAAAATCTCATTAAACAGTCACTGTCCTTCCTTGAAATTTGGACAGTTCTAGCAAATTCCCGTCAATTGGTCTCTACACCTACAGGATATTCTTCAATTTTGATAATCACACAGTAGCTAATATTTCATTGTTGTTCAATTACATCTAACTCCTCATGGGGGTTTTCTTGGCAAAGATAATGGAACAGTTTGCCATTTCCTTTTTCAGTTCATTTTTACAGATGAGGAAACCGAGGTAAACAGGCTTAAGAGACTTGCCCAGGGTCACACAGCTGCTAAGTGTCTAAGGTTGGATTTGAACTCAGGTTTCCTGGCTCTAAGTCTGGTACTCTACCCACTGCGTCTCTTAGCTGCATAGCTAGTACTTTACCTACGGCTTTAAAAGACATGAGACCCTTTGGAGTCATACGATCCTCACAACAAATCCGTGTTGTGAGCACTGCTAGTGTTATTCTCATCATTTTATAGACAAAGAAACTGAGTTTCAGAGAAGTGAACTGAGTTGTCAATGCAGCTGGTAAGTACTGGGGGGAGTGGTCAATAGACCTCTCTAGAAGTGAACGTCCCAACTGGGATCCTAAGTGGCTAGTGGAGCCTCAGAATGTCAAAACAGGAAGGGTCTCAGAGACCCTATCTAATCCCACCCCTCCATCACAATTCCCAAACAAATCAGCACAACCTCTTTAAGGAAGGAGGAAATAGCCCTTGAACATCACACAAAGCAACTAGACTTAGTCAGCTAGTTTCCAAACACACCATGCCCTTAGGGAACTTCCATTTCAAGACCTTTTCCAATGGGCCAAAGTCCAGCTCCTAAGCCTGTAAGCTTCCCAAGGGCAGGGGTCTGTCTCCTCTGGGGCTCCAGCTAGAGCAGGAGGTTAATAATGCTGTAGAATGATGACAAACCAGCCTAGGAAGCACAACTTCCTCTTGACACTTCTCACACATTTGTCACTGAGTCACACTGAACAAAGCTGGGCTCATTTGAGAGAGCATCAGAGACGTGCCTAGAGCCTGCTGTGTGTGGTGCCCAAGGATGCCATGGTCCGGTCACAGCGACAGGCCGGGTTCTGGAGTCTGAGCTCCTTGGCTGGGAGGCCTTGGTCACGTAAGTCTCTTAGATTTAGAGCTGGAAGACACTTAGAGACTGCGGGACCCTAGAAATGGAGACAACGGGGCCTGGAGGTCTTCCAGGTCTAACCCCTAATGTGAAAGAGGCAGAAACAGACCCTGAGAAAGGCAACTGGCCAAAACCACACAGGTAGTAATTGACAGAAGGTCCCACTGGAACCCAACCTGAGGTTCTTTCCACTACATCTTAACCTTAATTTGCTCATCTATAAAATGGGGACAGTGAAGTTTACACCTTCATATTATACAAATCCCTTCCATCCATACTGCTTAGTCTCCCATTTCCACCCTTTATTTGCTTTGTGGCCTCCCCTCTGTGGATCTCACTTTCCTCATCTGTACAATGGGGATAGTAATACCTGTATCCCAAACCTCCCTTTACAGCTAGCAATTGGGAGGATGTTTATGTAGGGTTTTTTGGGGCGCTAAGGCAACTCTAAGTGATCCTACACGCGTCACCATGGGGGTGGATACAGAGATTATAGAAATAGAGACCTCCCTGGAAGCCTCTGAGTGGTGGGAAGAACAGGATAATCCCGCCCTAGCCAGGCTCGATGATATCACCCCATTTTAGAGCGTACCCATAAGCCCCAGACCCCTCCCCGCCCCCCACTGCTTACCTGGCTCTGTACACAGATAGGAGTAGAAGCCCTCAGACTTGAGCATGATGAGCAGAGACCCCCAGCCCAGGAGGACGGCAGAGAAAAGGAGATTTTCCACCACAGCAGTGCAGGCCATCCACCATCGCCTCCGGTGGGCAGTGGCCAGAGTAGGGGCCATAGCTCCAGGCGGGTGGGTGAGGGGACAACCCAGACGGAGGCCGGAGGACAGATGTGATGACAACCTGGACAGAGAACTCCCGGTCACAACCTGGGTGCTTTGATGGGAGGAAGCAGTGGGTGGCTGGCGCACCTCCCCCTTCCCTAGCCTCTGCAGCAAAATGCAAACTATGTCACCCCCTTCCAAGGAGGCTGCTGCAGGTGGGGGAAGGAAGGAGGGTTGAACAAGAGGCAGGCTCGACCCCTGGAGGAGCCAGGAAGCCCGGCAGGGAGCTCAGACCTGCGACTGAGGCCGCTCATCCAGAGCCGGAGCCCGCTGCCAACTGCAGCATCACCCCCCTCCCCGTGCCAGTCGGACTGGAAGCTCCCCGACCCTCGTCCCCATTTAATGCATGGGGAAACTGAGGCACAGAGGGAGGAGGAATAAAGATTCCAGAGTCCCTGGGTCTGAGTCTCGCTGCGAGGGACGGATGGAGTCGGAGAGCTCGCAGGAGCAGCAGTCGGACACTGCTCGGGGCCGCAGGGAGGGAGGGGGGCTCCCCGACTCACCAGCACCCGCCGCTGTCCCAGCCCGAAGCAGCGAGCACTCCCGCCCGCCCGCTAGCCAGCACACAGACCGCGCTCTAAAGGAGCTGCTCCTTTAACCACAGAATCAGCACCCGGAGCTGCGAGACGGCCCGCCTCCCTGCTCGCCCATTGGCTCGGCGGCCCTGAGGAGCCGCGGCCCCATTGGCGGAGCTCCGGGTCGCTAAGTGCCACGGGCACGCGAGTCCGCATGGGACGGGCGAAGCCGGTTCGAACCGGCGGCGCGAGCCGCTCGCTCTGCCCCCCGCCCTCGTCCTCCCCCCCCCCCGGCTCCGGTCCCGGCGCCTCGAGCCCGGAGCGCTCCCGGTCCCACAACGTCAGGCTCCCGCCCCTTCCCCACCTTATCCATCACTCCCGCCCGGCCTCCGAGCCCCGTGCTGTGCCTGTTTCTGTACCTCGCTCCCACCCCGCAGACAAACAGGCCTCCTCCTTTCTTCTTTCCTCCGGGCCGCCTGGAGCCCTAGGACTGAAACACTCAGCCCCTCGGTGCCGCTCACCCGGCTCCCACCCGATGTGTGTCGGGCCCGCCCGGAGCCTTTTCTGCCCCCCTTTTATTCCAGCCCTTTTATTCCGACCCCGAGAGGAAAACACTGCCACGCGCTGATTGGTCCAGACGGCGCTGGAAACAGGCAGCAACCAATCAGCAGCCGCCCGCCCGGCAGCGAGCACTAGCCGGTTCCGGCCGGACCGAGAGACAAACAAGAGAGCTTCGGGGAGGGGGGAGGGAGAGGAACAGGAGGGGAGGGGGAAGCGGGCTGCGGGGACCCCTGGCTCCTCGCCCCGCCTCGCCCCGGCCCACCCAGCCTGGACGCCCCCCTCCGCCCTGACTGGGACTGTGCCCGGGCCACCGCACCCCTCGGGGACTCCCCCGCCCCAGTTATACCGCCCGACACCCCAGATGTGCTCCTTAGCCCCCCTTTATAACCGTAACCGCCAGATGCGTCCCCTTTACTGCCTTGACCCCTAGATGCGCGCCCCTCCTTCGGCTGTCCTTGCCTAACCACCCCGTTATACCGTCCTGAACCCCGATGTATCCCCAGCTGTTTTCCCTCTGCCCCCCTTTACAGCCTTGACCTCCAAATGAGCCCTCTCCCCCGTGCTGTCCTCACCGACCCCACCCGTCCTGAACCCAGATGTTGCCCCAGCTTTGTCTCCCACCCCCATTTATCTCCTTGCCCCCGCAATTCACCCCAAGTTGTCCCCACTCTCCCATGACAGCCTTGATCCCAGACGTGCCCTTCCCCATGCCTTCTTCGCTGACCCTGCCCATTATACCACCAGCCTCCCCAGTTTCGTGATCCCCTTACTTTCCTCCATCTGTCTCCTCTGCACCCCCCTTATGTCACCCATTCCCCTGGATGTTATATGTCCTCTGTAGGGGTTTTTACCTAGTTGTATCTTCTCTGTCCCCATTCCTTTATACAACCCTGACCCCCAGATGTGTCCCCCACACACTCTATGTACCACCAGTCCCCCCATATGCCCTCCGTGCTGCCCACTTCTCTGTGTCCCCTTTATAGGACGCTGACCCCCCGCCCCAGCTAGGTTCTCCATCCCTACCTACCTCCTCCACTCCCACCAGCTGTGTTCTCTTCATCGCTCCAAGCACCCTCCCCTCCACGTCTCCCTCCCTCATGATTTCCCCAGCTGTGTTCTCCTTCCTTTGGATCTTCCCTCCCCGGCTATGTCCTTTTGGTCCTGCTATTTGTTCTTTCTTCCCTTGGAACCCCCCAACCCAATCCTTCAACTGTATTGAGTCCTCTGGGACTTTATCAATATACGCCCCCATACCCCATCCCATGTGCTACCTTTATACTACCCAGTTGTCTGACATTTCCCCCTCCACCCCCAACCCAAAGTCAGAGGGCCAAGCTGCCTCCTCTTGCTGGTTTCTCTGCATTCTGAACTTGGTGTTTGTGTGTGTCCCCCTCACCATCTCCCCCTGTCCATCTCCCTCTCCCTGGAGTGCAATTTCCCAGTCTCTGAGCTCCCCTGTCCCCCAAGGGTGTGTCTCCCCCAGAGCTCCTTCCAGGACTTGTCGAGTCCTCCCCCCCAGGGCTGGGTCCTTGCCCTTCTGGGGCCCAGTTCAAGGTCAGTAGGGCTCTTCAAGCAGACCTTGTGGAAGGCAGCCAGTGCTAGCGACGGCAGCTGCAAGCCCAGTCCCAGGAGCCAAATGGACAGGGGCCTGGCTTCCAGGGCTGAGGACTCAAGCTATCTGGAACTCCGAGTTTCGCTGTGGGACAGAGAAGCTCCACCTTCCACCCAACTCAGATCCTGTCCCCTAGCTAGACTGAGGAAGGACTCTGGGGGCCTTCTGCTGCTGCTCCCCCACCCCACAGTGCCGCCCACCTTCTCCGAAGGGGCACTGGGCGGGGACCCTCCCTCCTCGGGAAGCCCTAAACCATCCTCCCCGTTTCTTCTGCCTCTAGTGCCAAGGCCAGCGTGCTCCCTCTGCTGGACAGATGGGCATCTCACACCCCTGGCCACGTCCTCCCCAGAGCCAGGGCCATAGTGGGAGGCGGGGCTGAGCTAGGAAAACTTGGGGGGCAGGGGCAAAATCAAGCTTGTGGAAGTAGGCACCGTGGCGCTGCTCAGGAGCCCCAGGGCTACTGCTACTCAACCAAAGAGGCCCCGAGTTCAGACAGCTAGGTGTTGCAGTGTTGGAATTAGGGACACCCGAATTCAAATGCTGCCTCAAACTAGAGCTGTGTGACTCTGGGAAAGTCCCTTCATCTCTCAGCCTCAGTTTCCTCATCTGTAAAATGAGGGTGATAATTGCCCCAACCTCAGAGGGTTGTTAGGAGGATCAAATGAAACATGTATGTAGGGGCAGCTAGGTGGTGCAGTGGATAGAGGACCCACCCTGGAGTCAGGAAGACCTGAGTTCAAATGCGGCCTCAGATACATAACACTTACTAACTGTGTGACCCTGGGCAAGTCACTTAACCCCATTGTCTAGCAAAAAAAACCCCCACATATGTAAAGTATCTTGCAAAGCTATGTAAAACGCCAGCCTTATTGTTTAATCCTGTGCCATCCCCAATGGTAACTAAGGGACAGACCTGGAGCAGCATATGTGCAAACCTGGAAACCTTGGAAGGCTCCTCGCTGCTTACTGACTCAAATCCAAATTGCTTAGCCTGCCATTCGAAGGCCTTCTTCAGCCTCTCGCCAATTTCATTCGCCAGCTCTGCATCTTTGCTGGACTCCCACCTCCTCCAGTCCCCTTCCCTCCAGTTCTGCCTGTGGGGAGGTGGGGAGGGAGGGGAGGTGATTAGAGGGAGCTAGATGGAGGGTAGCCCTGGAGCTGTTCATTTAGAAGCAGAGGACTCGGTCCAAATTCTGTCCCTGACTTGTTGGACCTTGGACAAGTCACTTAACCTCAATGCCCTCTAAGATGACTTTGAAGGCCTCTTCCAGTTCTAAATCTGCGATCCTGGCCATCCTGCCCTTGAAAGGTCGGCTGAAGTGCACCCTTTTTCTCCAGCCAATCTTTATTGTAGTTATTTGTGGACTTGCTTATTATATCTTGTTCCTTGGACCAGATCTTCTGCATTTCTGTGTCCTATGTATCTAACTACACCCCCCACCACCATTTCGTGTCTTACACCCAGTGTGCTTGATAAGGACTATTTGGTTGAATAAGCAAAGGAAGAAAGGAAGGAATCTTTTATTTTTCATTTTTTGCTGGGGGAAATCCTGGAGGGAGGAACACGAACTGGAACCTGCCTGGCTCCCATCCCTGGTTATGGCCAGATTGTTGAGCTGACTCCAGAAAGAAGAGGAGAGGTCTCTGACCCATTAGCCTGCTCGCCATAGCCTTTTATTCAGAAGGAAGCAAGACCACGTGCCCCAGGCCTCCTGTAGCATCAAGGTCCCTTTCCCATCCTTCCCCTCTGCTTCCCCACCCCCATCCATGCCTGGGAGACCTCAGGAATTCAAGGTGCCAGAGCTTGGCTTGACATTCTCATACTGCGGTTCATCGTCCACCTCCTTTTCAGCCAGCTGCCCAGCCTCCTCCAGCACAGAGAGGTCATCCCCTCTGACTACCCCCGTTGTGTCCCCTAGGCTCCTGGCACCATCATGCCCCAGCCTGCCTGTCTCTTCCTCCTGGCTGGCTTCACTGAGTGCTGCTTTTTCAGAAAGCTCCAGGACCTGGGGGGAGTCAGGGCTGGGAGCGGGGGAAGGGGTGAGGGTGCCCTTGTCCCGACTCAGGGCCCTGCGAGGAGGCTTAGGAATGCTGCCCTTTGCCTTGGGCTCCACCCGACCCTTCTGGAAGCTGCCAAAGCGTCGGAGGACAGCCCGCACAGGCCCCTCAGCTCCCCTGGGAGTCCCTGCCAACATGTAGATGGTAGTCACAGGGCCTGGGCTTCTCCTGCTGCTACTCTCAATGGCCTCCACCCTCTGAGCCACAGTTCTGCCCCCAAGAGCAAGCCTCTGGTGGCCACCAGACAAATCCCCCTGAGCAGCAGTGGTGCCTGGAGGCTCTTGGAAATCAGGCTGTAGGTCCTCTGGCCCCTGGGGACCCTGAGGCCCCTCAGCCTCCTGCCCCTCAGCTTGGGGCTGGCCTGGGCGGGATAGTCGCTTGGGCTTCCTTGAGGGACTGGCCAGCTCCCCAGAGCCCAGGGAGTTCTGGGGCCCGAACTTGGTGCCTTCAGCAAAGGAGACCGATGGCCGCTTGGCTCGGGCCAGGCTGGAAGTTCGTGGGATGACAAAAGGTGTGGATGTATCATCTGGTGCAGAGATGGGTTTTCCTGCCTGATAAGCCTCTTGGAGTTCTTCCTCTGTGAAAGGGATAACAGCTCAGGGAGGAAGGAAAGGAGGACCGGACCCAGGGCCCAGACCCGATTCCCCCCTACTCTCACTGTTTCTTTCTGTTACTTCCCCCACCCACAGTTTTTTTCCCTAGTCTGAGAATTATGCCCCCAACTCAGGCTAAACCAAGGCCCCAGGGGAGGGGGATGAAGGAACTAAGTTGGGGTGAAGGGGGTAAATCCCCCTGAGGGGTCCAGGGAGGCCAGGCTTAGTCAAGGGGCAAGGCTAGCAAGGTGATTGGGGAGGATGTGTGATGGAGGAGGGCCCTACCTTGTTGGGGAGGCACACAGTAAGCTGGTCCCTCATCCTCTTCCCCAGAGTCAGTATCAGAAGAGAAGGAGTCATCTGACGCCCAGCCAGCAGAAGGGGGCTCAATGAAGCTGTGATTGAAGGGGATCTCTGGGTCATGGTGGGACACTGTGGGGAGAGCCAGGTCAGGAGGGCCAAACAGGGAGCCCCTTCCCCATCCAGGCCCAGGGCTCCCAAGGCCCCCCTCCTTCTGTCTCCCTCCTACCTGTGACCCGAGGCAGCTTGTGATTGCTGAGAGAGCCGCAGGGCAGTGCCGAGCCCAGGCTGCTCAATGCCCCCCTGACCTGCATCTTTACTCGGGACACAGCAACCCCATCTCTGGCTGGCCTGAAGACAGCAAGAGGAAGGTCAGGCAGAAAGAAAACCCGGTCAGTGAGGGAGTGAAGTAACCATGCCTAGAGTCCTGGAAAACAACTTTTCCTCTCTCCCAAAAACATAAGCAGAGTTCATTATGGA